CTCTACAAAGTGCTTATTACATTAACTTAATACAACCACGTCCATCCACTGAGAAATTATTGTCTTTTATCCATGATACATGTATTATCATTATAATTATAAATATATTATGGTTATCTAAACATGATATATCCATATATAATTCCATGGACATATTTTTTTTTTTAAAAAATCTTAACAATGTGGTTCTTATGCATTTAATTACATGTTTAATGTTTTATTATAATTTTTTTTAAATGGAATGACAATTTATATTTATCTAATTGTTCTAATTGAGGCCAAATTGTACTTGGTTAAAGAACTTTCTTTTGCAAGCTTTTTCACATATACGAGGGGTGATCAAAAAGTTCGCGAACTAATTGAATAACTTCCATAAAAGAAATGAAATTAGGTTTTAGTGTTCATTATTTTTTAAAGTAGTCCTCTCCGATTTAAATGCATATCTGCCATCGTTCTGCCCATGCGCGAATCACGTGATACAAGCGGTCACGTGGCATGCTCCGAAGCGTCCCGTTCACAGGATGTAAAAGATTTTTCCGAGTCTTATATTTCTTACCATGCAAATTATTTTTTTATAACAAGAACAGTCAACTGGTCAAAAATGGCCAAATCTCGGCAATAGGATGGGTGGATAAGGATATCCTTTCCCGGAATGAGCATGGTGACAATCACAACCCGAGTCTTCTGTCTTGGGAGCGTCGTTTATCCAATGTGGATATAAGGCATGGCGCCTTCTTTTTATCATATCTGATATGAATAAAGTCTAAAGTAAACGATATTTTAGGGATTTAATAACTGTATTATTGTTAAGATATTTAACTATTTTTCTAACTGTAACTTGTCGGTCTTTCATATCAAATTGCTCAACTGAGGACACATCTCTTCCCAAGCTTGCTTTCACTGGGCAAGAGAACAAACATCATTTTTAACCATCTCCCTTCTTTCACTAAAACAATCAATCCAATTAATGATTGAACTCCTGGCAAGACTTTTGTCTTCATAAACTTTGTACAAAGTATTATATGCTACTGCAAAGGAATTTCCAAGATACACATTAAACTTTACAGCCGTTCGTTGCTCGAGTACGACTGAGTCAATCATTTTTTGTCACAAGTAACCTACCTTATGACGTCATTTTCACATTGTGACGTCACAAACATGGAGCAAAACATTACATAAAACTGCTATATATAGAACACATGTATGACTATATGTGTGCCAAATTTCATTCTGATCTGAACTGTGGTTTTGAAAATACAGAGATAGTTCGCGAACTTTTTGATCAACCCTCGTATGTCAACTAAAATTGACCCCAATTTATCATCCGTGTAAAATGAATGCCTAAAGTTTTTTGGTATCCTGAAGTTTTTTGGTATCATAATTATGGTATTCTAAAGCAATCGTTGTGTCATCTGTATTTGATTGACTAATGCAAGCGATGTTGGAGAAAGTTAAACCTTTGATTGTTTGTTGTTTATCGTCCCTTACTAGAAACTTTCCCTCAAAATAGACGCCTTCACTTGCCAGTAGAGGGCTGCAAATTTAAACTTAATCTCGGCACTCAGTGCCATTGAGCAGTGATGTATCTTTTTTTGTGCCAGTAGCTACTGCGACACGAGACCTCGGTCATCCGAAGGACCGGTCTCCACTGTGGGATTCGAACCCGCAACCTAAGGATCAACTCCTTACTCCACGACTCCAGAGCAAACGCTCTAACAACTGCGCCAAGTGTGCTACTGTTTTTCCTTCGAAAACAAGATATCTGTGTTGAGAAATAAGTTCTTCCTTAGAAGAAAGTATATTAAACTTTTTTGAACGGAATTTTTCGAACGAACTGTATATTTACTTTGACAACTTTGTAAATTATATATTTATTCGAGAAAAAAATATTCGTATTTCTTTTTTGAAAGATTTATCGTTCCTTTGATGAAGGAGAGCATCCAAAAAATCAAAGAAGGTACATGTACATACTTGTGTATATACAGTAGACACCTCTGCAATGGGCTCGCGTCAGGATTTTGAAATAGCATGATATTCTAAGGATTATTTTGAATTAAACTAATAGTTATATATCTACTTAGTAAATATCTTCCTTGACAAAATAAGCACGGGCATTTAACTATTATTAATTTAATCAAACGCATAATTTCCGTGCTTATCACTCTGATATACACAAGCCATCTACAGAGGTGAGTGCATGATCTAATGGTAGAAAGTGGCAAAAGAGATGACAGTTATTCCTGAAATATTTTCAGCGGAGCCTTGTTAATCTTGGTGCTGTTTTTCTGATCAAATTGTTCATATTTATAAAGCGTTCGGTTAACTGAGTCATATGTTTTATTGATTTGGTTTTTTGAAATATGAATTGTTCCACATAAATTTAGTTCGGATGATAAAGTGTCTAGATAAACAGGACTCCAATATACACAAAAATTACCATTTTCAAGAACTATGACCAGAGCAATGTCAATAAATAGTTGTCACGTGACAGTAATTTTTCTACCTCCCATAACAAAATGAAAAGCAAACTCTCTCTCTCTCTCTCTCTCTCTCTCTCTCTCTCTCTCTCTCTCTCTCTCTCGTTGACAATGACAACAGCGACATACTTTGTAAAACATTTTTTTTGCTAATCTTAACACACTTTGATATGATACAAGAGACAATTTTTTAAGTATGAAAATTATGCTAAGCGGTTTATTTATTTATTTATTCATTTATTTATTTTTTGCATATTTCTTCTGTTTCCATGGCAAATGTAATTTCTATAAATATTTCATATATAAAAAACACAACTAGGGTTGTTGATTATGACTGTTATTTCTAGGAATGAAATATATGGAGATAACGAACAGTATTCAAACTCAAAAGTCCATAAAACATTACAAAATAGGAGCAGAGCAAACACGGACCTCCAAACATCAGAGGTGGGATCAGGTGCCATGGAGGAGTTAGCATCCCCTGCCGACCGGTCACACCCGTCGTGTGCTCCTTGTCATGATCGGGAAATAAGGGAAAAGTCCGTCGACAATTCAGTGTGTAAATAATGGCCTAACAATTAGTATGAAAAACGTCAGACAGCATTTGACTCAATGATAGATTGTATTTGCGGACATGGTCATTGTATCGACCATAGAACTTACGAATAATGACTTTAAACGAGACTGCTGATATTTTTGTTTCATCAAATTGTTTGTCAATAATTTGACTCGTTTTAGAAATTGTACATACGTAGAGCATGCTCTTGCGTATCGAAGCAACTGAAAGATATAAACCCCGTATGAGGTGATGAAGGTATATTGCTGCATAAGTAAGGGAAGTTGACTATTGAAATGTTAAAGTCATCACGTTTATCATAAAGCTTGGTTTGTTATTTTACCATTTACGTCTTTTTCAAGTAAAATATCCGAAGATGAAAAAATATTAAGTATCACTAAGATTGTCAAAACTTCGCGGTCAACATTATGGGTCTAGAAAAAAAAATACGTCACAGCAACGTTGTTCAGGGAAGTTAAACATATAAACATGTAGGAACGTTACATATAAATAAACGTTTATTTCAACAGTGACATACTTTGTACAACATATATTATTTTATTGCTAATCATAACACACTTTGACGTGGTACAAGAAACAATTTTTCTAAGTTCGAAAATTATGCTAAGCGGTTTAGGAACATTACATTAAATAAACGTTTATCAAAATGATTTATCAGTATGTGAGAGGGTTCAGGTAGGTATCTTTAAGTGGTTCTTCGTATTCAGTAGCGAAGGTGTCGTCAATTGAGCAGTACACATCAGAAACGGGTCTTTCTGGTAAATCACTGCTATCAGTCATATATCCACCATTTTTGAACGTTGCATAGATATTATTACGAGCTGCAGGAGCACTCTGGTATTCTTGTCTATAATAGAAATAGCTCTATTCTAAAATTATATTTATACCTCAGTGAATGAAAATTATAAACCATGATTTATTTAGTGCTTCTGTTCCTTTAAGTATAGTATGAGTATTGGTAATAAATGGCAATGAAAGAGGGAGTGAAAATAATAAGCTGGTATTGCAATTCCCCAGGTGCATAATGCTTTTTAAATAGTCTTGTGATGATGTTATTCGTCAAACTGATTTACATTAAACCTTTTTAAGTTTAGTGCATTTTAAGACACCCTTTTACCAGTATAATCTTACCCAACAACATGTGGTTTTCTGCGGTACGTGAAGCAAACAGCTGCAATTATTATAATGGCGAGGATGACAATACCTGCAACTGACATTCCAATGTACGCAATTGTTTTATCCTCACTCGTGGATGGGCTGGCTAAATATACAAGATGCATTACCTCATTTATATTAATTTACTTGTTCTGTAAGATAATATAATGAGAAGCTGTGTATAAAGAACTACGTTTATCCTATTAGGGAGACAACAAATTATTTTTACATTTGACACAAGTTTATGGTCAATTTATTAAATCAGTGGAATTTTTTTCATTTAATATACATGTCAAATGGTAATATCTCAAGTATGGATAGTTTTTTATGAGAAGTCAGGTATTTGAAAGGACATGCATGTTTCTTATATGTTTTAAAAGAAGAAACAAGCATGTTCTTCCAAATACCTGACTTCTCATGATAACTATCAATACTTGAGATATTACCATTTGACATGGTTAGAGCGTCTGCTCTAGAGTCGCGGAGTAAGGGGTTGATCCTTACGTCGCGGGTTCGAATCCCACTGCAGGGCGTGAAGACCGGTCATTCGGATGAGACCGTATAAACTGAGGTCTCGTATCGCATTATGTGCTGGCACGAAAAAGATCCCTCACTGCTCAATGGCCCTGAGTGCGAAATATACGTCAAAATTTATAGCTCTCCACCGGCAAGTGGTGGCGTCTCCATATGAGTGAAAAACTCTCGAGAGGGACATTAAACAACAAATAAACAAAACAAATCTATGTATTTAAAAGCAAAAATAATGTTGAATTAAGAAAGAACATCTGTATTCACTTACAAGTGCTTTGTACACAAATGCCATCGGTGCGTTTGTCCCATAATCCCTCCGTTGTGCAGATTAAATTTGGAGAGTTCTTTATAAATCCTTCATGGCATACCACGTCACATTTTTCTCCGATATTTCCCTTACAAATGGAGCTCAAATTACCATTTCTTATTTCTAGTTGACAGGTTATGTCTAGAACAAAAAAAATCTTCGTTTTGTGAAATATGCACATGTACTTTTATGCTATGCGTTATGTTTTGTGAGGAATACTTATGCTAATATAATTAAAAAAATAAACATACAGAATGAAGAACGAAATTGTCTTACTTTGCTCTTTTAACTTTGCGGTATCAAAGTATGCTATGTGACAAGAAAATTAAAGAAATTATCTTACGTTGGCATAATTCGTTGGTATTTTCGTTCCAAAGGCCATCCGAGGTACACACAATATTTGAAGAAGAAATTATAGATTTATGGCCACTGTCACATGTAAATAAACAGCTATATCCAACTTTTCTTTGACAATCTGATTTTAAGTTTCCATTACGAATAGTTGAAGGACACAGTTGTACTAGAGTAGGATACAAATATATATTTTATGCATATATATGTTTATATATATATTTATATTTCATATTAAATGTAACCATCAGTTATGTTGTATAATAGCAAATGGTCACTATATGAAAAAATATCTCGAATGGGACGTAAAAGAAGATACAATCAATAAATTATAGATTACGCTTTGCTTTAGAATGAATATACACTACCACATAGATCATTTGTATCGTGATCCCAGTTACCACTTGCGTTACATGTAACATTTGGAACAGATGGATTGTTTTCCAGTTGACTATTGCATTCATATCGACATGTTTCTCCTAGTTTTGATTCACAGTTGATAAGTTGACCATTTCGTATTGTCTTTGAACAACCAGAACCTGTTAATTACACTGATTTTGATAAATTTGCGTTTTGGAGAAACATTTCATGACTTAAGAGTTAATTTTTTGTTTATGTCAATAAGTGTTTTAAAAGAAGCACCTGAAAAACATACAAATGAGATATTAGGCTGTGGCCAACTCAGCTCCACCTAGAGTGTGACTTCCAGACCCATGTGACATGGATTTTACAACTTGGAAGAGATGTTAATGATTATATTCCAGATGTTTTAAGAGTGAAGAAGATTCTTAAAAATGTTTTTCAATAGATGCTCCAGCTTGCATCACCCTAGATGCTTAATTAGCTCAGGGAACGCCAATTTCGAAATTTTAATTCATGAACTTAACCTTATTCTTGGGTCCGAACTTATACCTAGAAACAATAGTTTTCATAAATTTTGTTGAAAGCTAATTACTCATGATACTCATGTAAACAGTTTGCCTTCTAGACATCCAGAAAGCAAATAATATTTGTCAAATGTAAGGAATTTTCAAAACATGATTGACTCAGCCTACCCTGGGGCATTCAGTCAGATTCCAGGAGACTTGAAACGGAAATACTGTGAAAAGCTAGTAAATACTTTTAATACTTCTAAATTGTGCGCTGGATTGACAGTTTGCATACATGTAATATAATATTTTTCCCTCACTTTTTTAATTATATTCCTGAGAGATATGAAGACCCATTGACACAGTTGTATATATAGACACATTACGTGTTTTTGTTTTTGTTTTTGTTTTTTAAAAAATATGCTGATTTTTTTTCCTGAAAAGTAAACTTGATCCATTTGTCCTTTTTTTTCTTTTAATTTTGTCATATACTCAGTATTTCTTTTTATTATTCACTAATCTGTTGTTCTCCTTACGTATACATAAGTTTTTGGTGTCAAAGTTCCAGGTACCATCATTTGTACAAAGCAAGTTCTGTGAAATTGTCGAGGTGTAGCCTTCTGCACATTTGAATGTGCACGAGTCACCCACTCTTCGCGTGCAAATTGATGACAGCATCACATTTCCAACAGGTGATGAACACAATATTTCTATGAAAGAATATTGTTTGAAATAATTATTATAATCAAATATGTTTTAATTATATTCAAGCGAGCAGCACATACACAGAGAGAGAGGGGGGGGGGGGGGAGGGGGATTAGATAGAGGGAGAGAGAACAAGTAGATTATGTTTTGGGGTTATCTGTTCTCATTTTACCTAAAATCTATATTAAAGATACTTTTTACATGTAGTAGGAAAAAAATCCTACAAATGGAATGAGTCTATTAATTTTTCAATGTTTAATTTACATCTTATTCATAATTTATGATTTATTACTTCAGAAATTCACCTGTACATAAAGAAGATGGAGAAGGATTCCATTGTCCAGAAGTATCACATGTAATAGACGTATTGACATCTAGTCTGTATCCAGCTTTACACTCTATATTGCAAACCTGCCCAGGATATGGGAGACAATCGGGTATATATATATTCTGTAGTGAAGTGGTACAACTAGATACTGCAAAAAGTAAAAATATTACGTTATAGGTGACATTTACGCTACAATAAGACATTCCATTAATTCAATTCCAAAACTTTAGTACCATCATTAGATTTTTTATTGACATAAAAAATGACTTGATAATCATGAACCTCCTTGACATGTTGTTTGGTCTGATTGTAAATTAACATTGTCCTGACATCCACATGTTCTTCCTGCTGGTTTCGGAAAGCAGAATGTACTGCAACCACCGTTTTTCTGGGAACAACTTAAACTCACTATAAGAAAGTGAAATAGCCTTTCATGGTTTTTTACAAAAACAAATACTTTGGAATGCGTTATTTAACTCAGAGGATACTGATTACCATCAACTACATCGTCTGCATATATAGCAAGACTGTCAAGTCGACCAAGCTCAGGGTGGTTTGACATAAAGGTGACTTTTGATCCTGTTGTTTTGTGCATCTTTGTTATCCGTCTGCATGAGCAATGCAATGGGAAAAAGCAATTAAGGACATATTTGTCAGATTTTATAAGAAAATCAGTTTCTAAAAGATATAAGATGACAGAAAAATACTGACTGCCGATTCCACGCGGTATAATAGAGATATTGTCCGTGAACCACAATGCTCATCAAATGTGCATCATTGTCAGTTGTCAAAACACGTCTGTTTCCTCCATTTAAATCTGAGAATTCGATGCGGTTTTTCTGTCCATCTGTCCAGTAAATTCTGTCGGCTAAAAAAGATATTAAATTTTAAAACAGGTACTTTTTTTACTTGGTCTTGATGGTAGATGTATAATCATTTATATTTACTTACATGTAAAATCAATGGCAAGACCATTAGGCCATCCAATGTCAGTTGTTGCAATATATGTTTTTGATGACCCGTCCATATATGCTCTTCCTATTTCAGTTAGATTCCCAAACTCCGTCCAAAACAAGAAACTAATTATATGTTTAAGAATAAAAAAGCAATGTAATTTTTTTTTATTTTTGCAGTGATCTAAAAATCAAAAACATGATGAAAAATGACCTATGGCTATTTATGGCCAAACTTACCCTTTTGACGGATATACCACTATTTCTCTTGGACTGTGAAGGTCAGACAACAATGTTTTATGCTGAAAGGTAGTTCTATGAATTACACCGATATAACTCTGACTCGATGTTGACCCTACCGCAGTGTAGTAAATATTTCCCGTTGAATAATCAATCGCCATACGGTCAGGATTCACAAAGCCTGTTGTATAAAGTAATAACGATGTCCAGGCAATTACATTTAAGATAATATTAAGGGGAGGAGGGTATTTACGAATATGTTCGCAATAAATCAGTTTCTATCATTAAATCAGATTTACCAGTTGCATAGACCAGAGTGGTGTTCCCTCCATGGAGTGAAGAAGACATTATATTCTTCGTGGAGAGATCACAATAAAGGAGTTCCTTTGTAGTTTTATCGAATGTTATTCCTGCAGAATTCCCTGTACTTATAGGCAGCTTTACGAGACCACCTTTGTCTATGTTAATCTGAAGCATCCTCCCATGGGAATAATCAGACACCACGATGAAATTCGTCGTGTAAACTTCTACCAAATTTAAAACCAGTTTTTTTTATAGGTAATAATAAAGTTCTTGGAATTTAAAAATCAAGAGAATATTTTTAAATCTAAATTGGAAAGTGTTTTAATCATATAAACAAATTCCATTAACAATAAAAAAAAATATGCACGAAAATACTTACTGCCATCACATGTTTTCAAATCAGGCTGAAGCTGAAGACCTAAATCACACTCACACTCACGACCAGTTTGTAACGGCAAGCAAATATCTTGACAACCACCATTAAGTAAATGACAGCTGCCTTAAAAATCAAAAATATGTTGAATAGGTAATAATGTTCTCTCCAGATAAATGTTTCAGATCAATAAAACATGTGGAAGAAATAGTACATATCAAATTTGATTCCAAAATGATAATGCTTTATTTTAATCCATCATTAATGATTAATTAGTGTACAGATGAATTGGTTGAAAATTATTTGCTACAACTGTAATAAAGGTGTGAACAAATATACATACGAGACTCCCAATATGTTTATTTCCCCCAAAATTTGTTTTAAAACTGATTTTATAATACAAGGCAAACACACGTAATCTTAAGGTAATCAAATTGCAGTAAATGATATCAAAATTTTATATCGAATATTAAATGGAAACTCACTGAATAGATTGCAAAAAGCCCTTAATTATTCATACTTATCTGTTTAACACTATGACGGCACTGATTTGTTGGAATTCACAACTAAAATAGTCTACTTTTATGCATATGTAAATGTTTAAACATGCATGAATATCCTTTGATAAAGCTAGATTCGATCAACTGAATATCTCAAAAGAAAAATTCATTTCAGAAATAAAAGTCGTTTACATATTAGAATCAACATATATATTTTGGTGAGACCTTCTTCTCTGTATATACGTGATTCTAAAAATTAAAATATCATGAAATGATTTATGATGTTTTCTAAATTTGGAGTGGAAATTCTGAGAAATATCTCAGTTGATCATAAGAGTTAAAATAAACAATTCGATCTTTTTCTTCGTTGCTCAGGTGCCTAGAGTACAAATTTACACTATTTTATATGTCACAAGGATAACACGTTTTTAACAATGAACACCTCTTTTATCCTCTTGCAGAGACGAATCGAAGATGGCCACCCCTTTGACATTTTCTCCGATGTCTACATAACTCTCTGCAATGTTTGAAGACTTTCTAGAGAAGTACATTTTGTTCCCCATTATCCAGCCTAAATAACCCTGAAAAGATTTTTTTCACATGTTTGTTTTATTGAAAAAAAGCTCAATGCATTTTTTTTATAACTGAATCTTATCCTAGGCTATTAATTATATCTTTATATCTACATGTATGATTTTATAAACTTAATCTTTACCATACATGCATAAATAAAAGCACACATACTTCGTTTATCGAGTCATATTTATTATTCCAAAAGATATACATGTACTTACTTTTTGCTGCATACACACCATGCTTATTGAAATGATTTATCACGCGTTTGTCAATAAAAGAAACTGTTAGAAGTGTTTAAGAATGAAATGAAAAAAGAACTACGATGGCATTGTCAATTACACTCTAGATCTGTACACTTTTTGCATAACATTTAAATTCCTTAAAATCTTTGACAGAAACCTTTTTTTTACCTTATATGCAAATGCCTGTGTTACACCAAACGTGATGACGTGGCTTCTAATATCGGATCCATTAGTCAATGAACTTTTGATCATTGAGTCATCAACCCAATACAACCTTAGATATAAAATGTCTTATAAATTGATTATTTCTTCCTGAAATCGTTTTCAATTACAAGTCTTTTTTCTTGTTCTTGGTTACGTATTATTTTGTAGGAACATTTAGTAAAACGACCATCCTCAGTAATAATGTGCAATCAGGGTATATTTGAAACTCCACAAACTTTGGTGTACGTTAGGATAACATCAGATAACTCTGATTTATATCACGAAAAATCTATTACACTTCTCTGATGATGTAAAATTTGACAAAAATACAAGGCTTTTTATCCCTGACATCACTGCAATATATGTTATTATAATTATTGGTAATGAAATAAAACAATATCGGCGTTCTAACTTCTTTAGAAGATATTTATTAACTAGGACATATTTTTTTTATTTGATGCAAGGCCAATAATTTGTGATATTTAGGTAATTAATTTAAAAGTAAAGAAAGCTGTTTTGTAGGGCAACCGAAAAAAATTAATGACATAAATGATGTCTATGTTACAATACCATGTTAACTCTAACTATTAAAATGAAAAAAGAAAAAAAAAACTCATTCCATTTGAACTGAGTGGACTATTGTCTATCAATAAATGTGAGAACAACGAAAATAATCAACTTTTTATTCACACAAATTACAGCCTCAGAAGTTATGTACGAGACTCAGAGCTAATGTAAGAATGGACGAGAATAACGTCAGTTGGTAACAATAATACTAATAAGAATGTACTGTCTGTTTGCTTGATAAAGATAAGTTTAAAAAGTATTTTTGAGAATTCAGATTCTGGCCTTGAATTTAACAAATGATAAAAAATTAATGTTATTGTCGAAACGTAAAAAAAGATACATACGTGATCAGATATGAGAATTTTTTTTAAAAATATGATTTGTATATAAAAGGCTAAAAGCTGTCGATTGCATTGCCACGTTTATTTTAATGGTTTAGATCTGTACCATAATCAACATTTTCGGCCATCTTTTGAAATAAATGGGTAACCATTTAGCACAATACAGATTGAAGATGTCGTGATGAGTAAAATCAAAAGGAGACAGATAGATGATAACGTAAGCGAGAGTAACTATCATTTAAAAGTTATATGTACTGTTAACGTATCGCTAAGGTCATAAAAACTATTTATTAAAGAAAAGGGAAAAGTAGTTAATACCTACGTTACTGAATGTTACGTAGGCATCAAAACATTTCAAATTTTATTAGATTTATTATAAAATACAAGCATTCTGAGAGTATTGCATTAGCAATACTAGTCCCCTACCGGCAAGTGTAATCTGGTTCCCGTTAAGAATTGAAAATGTCATATAATTTCGTTAAAAGTCAATGAAGCGGAACGAAATGCAAACTTGATCTATAACTAATCAAGGTAAAGTCACATAACAAAAATCAGCTCAATATCTGAAAGCGTTTAGAAGGAAATTGCGGAAAACCCTTAAAAATTGAAAAGGTCATAATTCCGTCAAAAATCAATGAAGCGGAACGAAATTCAAACGTGATCTGTAACCCATCAAGATACACTTACATACCAAAAATCAGCTCAATATCTGCAAGCGTTTAGGAAAAATTTGCGGAAAACCAAGTGGGACAGACTGACAGACAGACAGAGGGACAGCTAGACAGACGGACGGACAGACTCAGAGGAAACCTATAGTCCCCTCCGGTTTCACCGGTAGGGGACTAACTAGTACTAATTTCATTTTAATTAAATATCTGTGTTTAATCATACATGTAATTATCTTTAATAATTACTAGATGAAATCCCGCGCAAGCGCGGGGAATTAATTTATAATACTTCCGACAGAAAATATATTGTAGTTTCTACTGACAGCCTACAGGCTTATAGAAGGAAAAATAGTTTGTTCAAAATCACACAGGAAGTAAATGGACGTCTCCACCCCCACCCCCTTTTTGTAAAAACTTGAAAAATAACAATTTTGTTTAATTGATGTTTATTGTGAAACCTGTTATATACATGTAATGTTATGGATATTGTACTTCAGATGCTCTTATTTCACTTCCGCCAAGGATAAAAGGAGCGAATACACATGTATGCACATTTTACTGATAAATTGATTGGGGGGGGGGGGGGGGGGGCTAAAAAATCACAGATACTTGGGTCTTGGTTTATAAATATGTATGTACCTTATTGATATGCGAAAAATGTACTCTAACTTTTTTTACATATCAATAAGGTACCCGGTACATACATATTTATATACCAAGACCCAAGTACCTGTGTAAAAATAGCTGCTTAACGCCCTACGAATAGGCCAAGTATTTGATACAAAAGACTGTATTCAGAAAAAAACTGAAATGTATTGATTAAAGCACAAAATTTTACAGCTTTAATTATATTTGAACAATATCTTATTCATTAATTTTCTCTTTTCATGTAAGCACGTTTATTACGAAGTACAAATTGTACTTCGGGTTCGTGCCACGATACTCTCAGTAAGGAAAATACTAATTTTACCGATAAAGTTACAAATTTTACCGATAAATTTATTAGAAAAACCTACTACATATATGTAATAGTCTTTAGATATATAAATATATTCACAACTTATAGTGTTATCAATGATTTACCATTATTTCAATGACCATTCACACAACAGCTCTTTTTTATTTTCATGCAGCTATAATCGCCTTGTTTATCTTTTTAACTTCGGGCTCGATGCTATCTGATGTTCTAGAAGCTTCCAACAACATTAAGATCGGCGAATGACGAAAATAATTTGCACATTTCCCTTTTTAATCGGTTATCACAACTTATTTCTTTTATATCATTTAAATCAAGTTTTGATTGAATAATAAAGTGATGACGTTTTATGAAATAAATAAACGATTGCTTGTTGTCAGTTTCATTAAAAACTGCCAGTAACTTAGATCCGCCAACCGGAAACGCCACCGTACTCACGTTTTTGCTATTTCATGGCTACTTATAGAAAATAAAAGTAGACTTTTAATTAAATGTACGACACTTACTTTGCGAGTGAAATCTAAATATAGTTTACGGACATCATCTTGTATATAGTGTATTGTTAGAGGAGTAAGTAAGAACTCTGATGCACCCGTTTTGGAGTTTATTTGCAAAATTTATTAATTTATAAGTATAGATTATCAATTAAAGTGGCATATTGTAATAGAAGCATGCGGTACACGAATAAGACTTTAGTGTAAAATTTCTTTCTCTTACATTTGGATGTATTGGTAACGTATGCATTTTTTTTTGCAAGTAATGACTCATTTTTCATCCTCCCTATAGAGACGAGATACGAATTAAAAAGTTTATTGATGATAACCGAATTGGATATACTCGGTATAAATGCAACATATATAACGTACCATCAGAAATACAAACTTGGGGTTTAATGTTAATATCGGTCTTTCAGTTATAAAAAGAGAATGGGCATTGGAAATGCACATGATTTACTTACTGTTGGGTTTAATAGAAAGCCATCTGACTATAAAGACATTCGTCATTATACATAATAGAATATTTAGGGTTTAAATTGTAAGTGCGATATATATTATGCACCTGAAACATGAAGATATATGAATGTTTAGCTACATCAATAAACTGCAACTGACCTAGCAGCATCAGTAAATGTTAGTTTTATCTATAAAATGGCATAAAATTTTAAAATTTTACGTCCTAGTTTATTGATTCTCGCTTCACGGATTTTAGAAAAGCTGCATTGCGGAGACAGTTTACTAATGGCGATAGCAACTGCACATTATTGCTGAAAATGGGTGAAATACAATGGTGTCATTTAAATGAAAAATTATAGAACAACTCATTCCAGTTTAAACTCTTTAGTGAAAATTTCATTGATTGATCCTTTGATATGATACGAAAAGTACACCTTAAACTGCAGTATAGTTTGTAACTTTAAAATATACCGGTTGCTTGTGACATCATAAAGGAGAGAGATGGGATTATTCAGGTTTGCAGTCGACACAACTGTACGAGGAGAATTTCTATTCCAGTTTCCATTCATTATGGATTTTCCTAATGTTCCCGAAATCCAATAAAGGTCCCTAAAGGAAAGTATTTAGAACAATATCGTTACAAAATAGAAATATAAATTTTTCATTGAAAATTATCATCATTTTGTTTTTCAATATATAAAGAATTATAAAAAGTTTTATTTTGAAACAGTGCCTCGATTCTGTTAGGAAAACTTTCCTATTATAAATTCAGTGGTTAGTATTAATTGCAATAGAATTTTTTTCTCAAATTTTAATGTTTTTTGCGGAATATAAACAGCTACTTCGCCTTATCATGCTGTTTAATTGTTTTGTTTTTAAACTGCTTTCAGGATCTATAAGACATGAATTATAACTATAGTCTACTACCATCACTTTCAAGTTATAGCTAATTTCAAATCGAGAAATAAAGTAAAAAAACAACAAGGGTTTGATCTACTCATTGTAATAATAAATGATCAACAAACCCATTATGAGAGTTAACTGTTAATGAAGTTGGTTGTTCAAGTCCGATGTATATTGTTGACGTTGTTCCAGAATTAACTGAAAATGCCTTTATGCTAGACGAAGTAGGTTCAATCCATCCAAGAAGATTAGTAATCCAATCAAAATTCAGATCTACGATATCAAGGGTTAAAACTAAAGTATTTGTGAAAATTATATACACTACGATAATTTAATAAGAAGGAGTTCCTCTGTTACGTAAAGCATAAATATGCAATCCACGATGATTTAACAGTGACACATTTTACTTCTAGCTTTACGTCACAAATTATGTCTTTATAAAAAGAAAGTTTGGAATTCGACGTAGTTTGGTACATCAAAAGAAAACATTGTAAGTATTCATTCATTTATCATAGATGATACATTTTAACATTTTTTGTGAAATTGTGTGATATCTACTTATTTTTATTTGTGATAGGATGTTGATTTTCAACAGCTTACCTGATGCAAATTGAATGGACGTCAACGTTCTAATTTTTAAACTGATTATGTTCAGTTCTTTCAATTCGTTGTTGCTACTGTCCACAAAATAGATAAGATGGCTGTTGGCGTCAACAGCAAATGTCTGAATAATGGAGGATGGAACTGTTATAAACGGATACCAGCCTCGTCTACCGTTGACGAAATGCACTTCATACATCGAAAACGCCGTTGAATTGTGCAAGATAAAACCTTTCTCATGGAACCAGGAGCGATCTGGAGGAAAACAAGAGGCCCAAGGGCTTTAACAGTCACCTGAGTATAATACAACAATTTAGAGGATCCATAGAGTATAAAACGAACTGAAAGGTGAAGCTTTGTTGCCCAAAAGCAAGAAAAATAGGGTGATCAGGATCAACAAAATAATTAGTCTACTGTTCATTAACAGTTCATAAATTAGGTTCTGATCTGTTCCCCATTTATCACTATCACCATACAGTATATTAACACATTAACAGTGATTCTGCACTATTTTAATTCCTTGATGAAATCTCTTACATTGGACTCTCTTGGTCTTTGATGAATATTGAATAAGACAAGTTATTTTTGTCTCATTTTTATTTATCTATTACTTAAAAGTCTACGGATCATTTAAACTATAAAAGTACTTTTTGTATTATACAATAAAAAATCTTGCATAATTCTCCTATTCTATTAACCTTTCAAGTACATTATTTACAGTGATTAATTATCAAAAGTAAATGCAAAAGGGGAATAACTCCTCTCAGTTGAATACAAATTAATACAGCCCTGACCAGGACCAGAACGCTTGACCAAATGGTCCAGATGTTCAAAAATCTTTATTAAAACTTTTACTCTTTTTGCCTCTGATATGCCCAGGTGCAGAGAAGAAGATTTGCAAATAATTGATGCATTTTAAATACAGATTCACTATATTATCAAAAGAGCCCCCCCCCCCCAGCACCAGAATCCCTGACCTTGGGGCCATGAATTTCATAATTTTGGTAGAGTAACCCTTGCTTATCATAACTATGTATTCAATTTGTTTCAATAATACCCAGAAGTAGAGAAGAGGATTTTCAAAGAAATAATGCACTTTCACTATATGATCTATATAGCCCCGCCCTAGCAACAGAACCCCTGACCCTGGGGCCATGAATTTCACAATTTTGGAAAAATCATTCTTGTGCACCATTATCATGCACTTAGTTTGTTTAAATAATACCCAGGAGCAGAGAAGAAGATTTTCAAAGAATTAATGCACTTTCACTATATAATCAATAGAGCCCCGTCCTAACATCAGAACCCCTGACCCAGGGGCCATGAATTTCACAATTTTGGAAAAGGCATCATTGTTTGTCATAACCATGCTTTTAGTTTGTTTAAATAATACCCAGGAGAAGAGAAGAAGATTTTCAAAGAAATAATGCACTTTCACTATATAATCAATAGAGCCCTGCCCTACCACCAGAACCCCTGACCCAGGGGCCATGAAATTCACAATTTTGGAAAAGGCATCAATGCTTATCATAACCATGCACTTAGTTTGTTTATATAATATCCAGAAGCAGAGAAGATTTTCAAAGAATTAATGCATTTTCACTATATAACCAATAGAGTCCCACCCTAACACCAAAACCCCTGACCCTGGGGCCATGAATTTCACAATTTTGGAAAAATCATTCTTGTGCACCATTATCATGCACTTAGTTTGTTTAAATAATACCCAGGAGCAGAGAAGAAGATTTTCAAAGAATTAATGCACTTTCACTATATAATCAATAGAGCCCCGTCCTAACATCAGAACCCCTGACCCAGGGGCCATGAATTTCACAATTTTGGAAAAGGCATCATTGTTTGTCATAACCATGCTTTTAGTTTGTTTAAATAATACCCAGGAGAAGAGAAGAAGATTTTCAAAGAAATAATGCACTTTCACTATATAATCAATAGAGCCCTGCCCTACCACCAGAACCCCTGACCCAGGGGCCATGAAATTCACAATTTTGGAAAAGGCATCAATGCTTATCATAACCATGCACTTAGTTTGTTTATATAATATCCAGAAGCAGAGAAGATTTTCAAAGAATTAATGCATTTTCACTATATAACCAATAGAGTCCCACCCTAACACCAAAACCCCTGACCCTGGGGCCATGAATTTCACAATTTTGGAAAAATCATTCTTGTGCACCATTATCATGCACTTAGTTTGTTTAAATAATACCCAGGAGCAGAGAAGAAGATTTTCAAAGAAATAATGCACTTTCACTATATGATCTATATAGCCCCGCCCTAGCACCAGAACCCCTGACCCTGGGGCCATGAAATTCACAATTTAGGTAGAAGGCCCAGTGCTTATTACAATAATGTCAACAGTTTGACTGCTTGATGTCCAGGAGTAAAGAAGAAGATTTTTAAATTTGCATCAATTTTGGTGGTTTTAGCCCCACCCCTGGGGCCCCAGGGAGACAGGGACCATGAAATTCACAATTTTTGTTCCACTTCACCCAAAGATGCTATATGCCAAATTTGGTTGAAATTGGTTGAACGGTTCTAGAGAAGAAGTTGAAAATGTTCAAAAGTTAACGGACGACGCACGACGACGGACAAAAACGGATAGCAATAGGTCACCTGAGTGACTCAGGTGACCTAAAAATGTACAAAATTATTATCCAATATTATTTAAACAAATTATTTATATATTTTTGAAAAAATAGAAAACATCTTTGAAATTTTTATTATATATCATTTTATAAATTAATTGCAAACAATGATGAATTAAAAAGAAGTGACGTTAGGTAATTTTCTACCCTTGCTGTCTGCAGTCTGTCTCCCAATATGGTTACTCACTATATGTTTAGAAAATTAGACACGCATTTACAATAAATTTGAGTTGATCTTTACGTCGCGGGTTCGAATCCTACTGTGGGACGTGGAGACCGGTCCTTCGGATGAGACCGTATAAACCGAGGTCCCCTGTCGCAGTAGGTGCTGTCAGGAAAAAGATCCCTCACTGCTCAATGACCATAAGTGCCGAGTATAAGTCAAAATATGCAGCTCTCCACCGGCAAGTGGTGGCGTCTCCATGAGTGAAAAATTCTCGAAAGGGGCGTTAAACAACAAACAAACAAACAAAACAATAAATTTGGTACGAAAAATTCCCTGGTCCAAGAATAAAGATTTTGAGAGAGGGTCTTGAAAAAGATGGGGATGTTATCTAGAGTTAATTTTGCTTTTCTATCATTTACGTAGAGAAAACACAATGAGAGACAAGGTTTTGTGGACCTGGAAACTAGGCGAACTACGTTTCCAAGATCCCTACATGAAGAATTTTAATTTTGAAAAAATCCTATCTCAGCACCCTCTAGACTGAAATAACAGTCATATTTTAGATCTCATTGTGCATGACAATTAACGCTAAATAACTGAACAAAAATGTTTGGAATCTTTAATGTTAAATAGGGCATAGCAAACCCGTGCACGTCATTCCATCTGAAGATATCAAGTAACCCTCGGCACAGAGGCATTTAGCTCCCTCTGGAGTGTTTACACAGATGTGTTGACAACTTCTAGAAGTGCAAGGGTCTGTATAATAAAAGAAAATTATATAAACTATGTAACGACAATTTATATTTAAAACCCTCTTTCAAATGCAGTTTATAGCGGTGTGAATTGTTGTATATTTTCTTTTTTTACATGTACAAGCATTTTGTTTGACTGAGAACAAAATTGGAAACATTCAAAATAATATGCTTTTCAAAATCCCTGACTTCTTAAAAAGATCTTCAAAATCTCTGCACATTATTTTGAGCTTACAACTCAAAAATAAGACATTTTTGAATTTATCACTAAAGCATGCGCCTCGCTCTATGAATATATTATCTAGAATCTACATTATCGAACTCGTCCCAAAATAGTTTAAACATTCCCGATTATGTGTCAAGTTTATCAAAATGTTTATTGTTTAAGACTTAACATTCCTTACCGATGTATTCCTTGGAGGTTTCTGCATCATAAACATGTACTGCATACGGCTGTGCTGTATTTATCCTTAGACTGTAAAGCTGTGTTCCTGATGCTGCATCTACTCCAAACATGGCTCTAGCTCCAGAACTTACAACATGCAACATTCCCTGTAAAATGATATACCAAGAGTATGAATATTACCAGAAATGAAGATATTTAAATGAAATTAGGTTCGATAAGCAGATTAAGACAGTTACACAGTTTTTTGGGGGGGTCAATTTTTACTAATTCCATGACAAAAATTTTTATCTTTTTATGAAGTGTGGGTAAAGGCATGTTCGTATTTTAGTGTATTTAAAATTAAAAGCATTTGACTGAGCTATAGTGTATTATTTTAGCTTATCTTCTCTCTCTCTCTCTCTCTCTCTCTCTCTCTCTGGAGAGGAAAAGAGAGAAAAGAATCCAACGTAATACCGAGGACGGTCGTCTGTATCTCTCTACTTGCTTTCTATTTTTTTTTTTCCATAGGAGTAGTCATTTCTTCTACCACAAAGCAATATCAAAGGTTTTATCTTTGACCAGTCCAGTTTAACTTTGTGTCAATAAAGCGTTAAGCAGTTGCATCATTATATACTAAAAGTGACCATTAGTTCGTATTTAAAGAAAGATAAACTGAACACAAATTTGACTGGGTTGCGAGATGACAACATAAATTTTAAAAAAAGAACTGTACAGGCAGAAAATTATTGAATTAAGAGTTCGATTCCTTTTTTGTCTACAATTATAAGGCACAACTGAACATATTACCTTTTTATATCAGAAATGGAATTTTAAGTTATCAGTTTGTTTGTTTGTTTGTGTTAAATTTTCCTCTCAAGAATTTTTCACTCATATGGAGACGCCACCACTTGCCGGTGGAGGGCTGGAAATTTAGACCTATACTCGGCACTCAGGGACATTGAGCAGTGAGGGATCTATTGCGTGCCAGCATTTACTGCGATCTATGGTCTCATCCGAAGGACCGGTCCCCACCTTAAGTTATTAGTTTATTTGTTTGTTGTTTAACGTCCCTCTCGAGAATTTTTCACTCATATGGAGACGCCACCACTTGCCGGTGGAGAGCAGCATATTTTGTCCTATACTCGGCACTTACGGCCATTGAGCAGTGAGGGATCATTTTCGTGCCAGCACCTATTGCGACACGGGACCTCGGGTTTATAAGGTCTCATCCGAACGACCGGTCTCCACGTCCCACAGTGGGATTCGAACCCGCGACGTAATGATCAACTCCTTACTCCGCGAATCTAGAGCAGACGCTCTAACCACTGTGCCACGCGGCCTTAAGTTATTAGTAAGTATATCTCTTAAAGAACTCGACCCACAATATGCCTTATTTGGCCTAGTAAACATGGAAAAATTGAAGTGGGCTTTAGAATATATGTTTTTGATAATTCTCACCCTAGAACATTAACACATTTCACATGTGCAACATTTCCGTCAAAACCGGATGTTTATTATGACAAACTAAATTCTAAACCTCACCGTGGTTCGAGGTTTTCCGGGAAAATGCCAAAATTTTACACATTTAATCGTGATTTACACATAGAGCACACTCGTTACCGCAAAATATTAAAACAGAATAAGAATAATAACTATTCGAGAAATATTTTCCAATGATAATATTTTGCGGTAACGAGTGTGCTCATGTTGAAAAAAAAATAAAATAAAATTTCAGTGCGTGTGAAAAATGCTATGGCCACGATCCATCATATGTGTCTTCGTGTTTTACACAAACTTATAGGACCGTTTCAAGAGATGTATAATATTGATAATGTAAGTGGAAACACACTCGTATCCCACATGTAAAAAAAATGTTAAATGAGGCGTCATTAGGCATGTCTGATGATTGGAATATATACTGATTTCTAAAAAGCGTTAAAAGTGCCGATTTATGAACAGGTTTTCCCCCAAAGTTAGATGGGGTCACAGGCAAGAACACCTTTCTTACTTACTATATGTATAAATAGCACGAACACAAATTTTTATGTCAATTATAAGCGTTGTTCGTGCTTGTGACACATACGAAATTTGACAATACTTTTTGAATTTTGATGTTTTCAAGAATCCGGTAAATTCCTAATGGGTGGGTCATATTTAATAAAGATCTGTAGATAACACACAAGGCGAAAGAAAAACAGTTGTTTGTTCGTTTCTAAGACACTAAATGTGATAAAGAATCTAAAAAAATTACATTTTCTGAAATCAAATTTGGAAAAAAGCATGGGTTTATCTTATGATCATGTATGCTGTACATACATGTATCTACATGACGTTACTCGTTATACGTCATTTTTGACGTCATAGAGGAGAAAAAAAATCAAATGCTTTTAATGGACCTAGTTTTCTGTCGTTTAGATAATTTATGCATTTAATTAGAAACGGGAAAATTATTTTTTAAAAAAAGATATCATTAGAAATTTAGATATTTCATTGAGATAATTATCAGACATATCTCTGTAAACTGGATCCAAATAAAGAACTCATGTGCTGATCCGTCAAATGCACATGTCAGGGCTTTAACGAATCCCATGTCGGTACATACAATATTTATATCTACATGTAGTGCTCAGCAAATAATCTTTATTTTTGTACTACATGTCAATCATTTCATTAAAAAGAAGCCCGCGTAGATAATTCTTATGCTCCTGCATAAAAGCGTGAAAAGTACAGGCCCGTAGGAAGCAAATTCAGTTGGGGCGCGGGGGGGGGGGGGGGGGCACAACCATACATTTTCAGTTGGCAGTTGAGGGGGCACTACCAAAAATTTCCTGACAAGCAAGAAAAAGGTCATCAGACGTTTTTATTTAGAGGGCACAAGCATATAGTATCTATGTTTACTATAGTTATCTATATACATGTCGGCAAAATTATTGGTTTCCAGAAACAATTAAGATGCACATTTTAAATATATGACCCTTGACATTGTTTATTAAAAGGAGTGAGTTGAAGTGCAGGTAGGATGTCAAGTTAAAAAATGAATGAAAAGCAAATAATAAAAAAAAAAAAAAAAGATTTGACAAAAGGGGAATTGAAATATGTTTCAAAAAATTCAGAATTATTTAATCGCTACTACACTATAATGTAAATAACAAGTAAAATGTGTACATGTAAACTACTTGTGTATGAATTGTTCCCTTTTACAAATAATTGTACACTGATAAAAAACTTCAGCACAATATACATGTATATATGTATATGTGATAAGTTAATTTAAGGCCCGTAATACGAAAGGGAGGGGGCATTTCTCTTAGAAGAGACTTTCATTCCAGTGCCAGTTTCCGGCTTTCATGATTGAACCACTTAAGAATTTTTTTTAAAAAATATACATGCAAGAGTCAATGATAGATCCGTGAATACCAACGCCAAAAAATCTAACCCCCCTGTTTTTTTGACAAGGAAAATAAACCAGTTAGAACACGAAAAACCTAATCGGGGGATTTTGTTGGGACACTTCTCATTGACAAGTTCTCTTTCATATATATATACACGACTCTTCTTACCAACTCCAGTGAACTTCTGTATCCTTTGGGTGGTGGTGGGAAAAGGGGGAGGGGGTCTATTTCTTCCTTTACATTTAATATCTGAATTTCGCTGGGTCCGCTACTGTTGTTTACTCCTACTTCAGGATGAGAAGGGGGTGGGGTTTGCTTTGACATAAATTATAAGAGCACTACATGTAATTATATCAACATTAATTTTAAGTATAGTAATTATTTAAAACTAGGATTTATGACTATAAAATCTACTGGAAACAGGGAGAAAGGGTGTTTGTCAATAATTCTATGTGCTAAAAGGTCAATGTCCTATTGAATATATATAAAACAACCTTGGAAATATTTTCTTGAACGCATGTCAAACTATTTTGCCACACTGAAATAAAATTTTGTATGTGCCCCCACCCCCTTATTTCTGCTACTGCTTACTACAGCAATATTCTCTATTTCAAGAATAATAGAGGGCATATTACCCTTTCCTCTTATGCTGTCTTTCGTAAGGCCTTATTAGCAAGTACTTGTTCGTATAAAATCAATCTTACGCTGAGTATTTGAAAAATATTAATGCCTGTATATATGTATCTCATTTACTTTCTTGACGTGTATTTACGATTATTACATACGCAATATATACACATGAAAATCATAATGTGAAAATGAAATTGAAAGTAGTGAATGTTAACCAACATACTAAATTTATTACATTTATAGGTCAATAGATAATGATAAGCTTTGAGGAGAAAAACAGAAACATCATTTATTTATCTCCACGTTACAACACGCCACGAATCCCTGTCCTGCATACACATATTATTTTCGGGAATAAAATATGGCCCTAAAAGCGATCGGCTGGTTCGCGAAGACAAATATCCACGATCTTGGGTTGCATGCAAATCTCGCGGATATTTCTTGCATGCGTATTCATGAAAGTTGTTTGACAGTATAGATGTAAGAATTTATCTTGATGTTACTTGTACTTTCTTTGTTTATATACATTCAAAATTATCATCAAGTATAACACAAATTTCTATTTTATTTATTTCTTCCAGTAAATATATACATGTATTTCGAACATCAAATAAGGTAATACCTATATTTATTTTTCAGTTAATATATACTCTGTTTATTCTCTGAATATGGGGAATTCTCGTGAAATCAACTAAGTCCAGTGGCGGATCCAGGAATTTCACAACGGGGGGGGGGGGGCAGTAGAAAGCGGGGGGGGGGGGTCAGGGGGGCTGTATTGAAGCCCCAGTGGGTCCAGGGCAAAGCCCTGATGGGGGTCCGGGGCGAAGCCCCCTTAAGCTGACGAATTCTTACAAATAAGAGGTGTTTTTTCCTCTATTTTAGGATGATGAACATATAAGTTCTACATACAAAAATTTCAAACGGGGGGGGGGGGGGCGTTACGCCCGACGCGCCGGCGCTGGATACGCTTTTGAAGTCAATAGCATAGATCTTCAGTTTTTAAGTATACTTAACATATTTGTTTTTAGGTCATCTTCTTTTTAATATAATTCATTTTTTCCATAAAATTTTGCATTAAAAATAACAAGTTTTTAATGAATTTCGTATTTTACGAAACTTGTTTCAGTTTCTCTATTACATGAACGAAAACGATGAGACGTTCAATTTATTATTACAAATGTTTAGAAAGTACGTCCTTTTAATTTCCGTTGACTATTTCTTCTCTGATCATTTATTTAGATATAGATTTTTAAAAGTTTCAAATATTGACTTTTTCATCGATCTAAAACTACCACAGTTGAAGTCATTTTCCATAGAAATTTTTTTTTTTCAATTCTATCCGATCAGAATTGACTGGTATATCAAACGAACACCTTCATCTGCTTTTTTAAATTATGATTGTAAATTAAATGATGTTGACTATATCAGTATCTATCGCTAATTATTTAATTTCAAGTCCTATATTTATATGGGTACATTGTAATCGCAAACTTTAAATAAGTCATGTCTATCGCTCTTTGACGCGACGTTATATTACAAAAAATGACGTTCCTATTGCATTTTTCTATCAAAACACTGTCATATTGCAATTTCTATTTTTCAAAAAGTATAATAGATATCAAAAAAAGGAAAACGGTTATGAAAAGCTAAAAATCTACATTATCTATAACAAACATCACATTAATTTTTGAGAAGAGGCCATTTTTGATGGTTCGTGGACTTTGCTCTTTGATCTTCTCGAAAACTTCAACATCATAATATTTATCATGCATTTGACTTTAGAATGTCAGTCAATAAAATCGGTGAGGCAAAATTTTCCATGAGACCTGCTATTTAGTAATATACCGGTATATTCTATTATATTTATTTAGTATTTAAATATTCTACATTGACCATGATCCTGTAAACCCTTAAGGTTAATGTTTAAGCTAAATGATTACTCAACAGTTTGCTGAGATGGAAATAAACCAAAATGCTTCCTTTTGTGCATGTATTCTAGAAAAGTCTGTTACCTCCAACATGATGGCTTCTGTTAATGCAAAATCCATTACGAAAGCCGAATTTAAAGATCAGTGGCAAGCAGAAGCAAGATGAATCGTATTTGATATTACAATTGATTACTGTCCACTTACTTTAGATAAAAAAAATTAAATAAAGGGATAATGAATGTGTATTCCAGTGGCATACGGATTTGGGCCACTAGTTTGACGAGATTGTAGAGACGTTCTGATGTGAATTTAAGATCCCGTTTCTTTTCTTTTTTTGCAAACACTCAACATTCGTCAATTGTATACCCGATACAAAATATGTTTTTGCACGTTCTGTATGAACATTATATACGTAGTCGATTTTCTAGACATAAATCAACTATTAAAACAAATGTTTATATACTTGGCGATAAAGTGGAACCCAAAGTGAACACAAAAGTAACTGGAACTCTTGATTAACAAGCAAACCTACTCAATTACCTCATAAAAATGTAATCCAGTCGCAGGAACGTTGTTGCTACGTCGCAGTACTTTTCTGTTTAATCCGTAATAGTCGCTGACCTCGACAGTGTGTCTGCCATAGTCTGCCCAGTACAGTAAGCTATTTATAACATCAACAGAAAGGGACAGAACTCGTTTCAATCCTGTGTGCACTATTATAGTCCTATTATCTCCATTCATGGAGGCCTTTTCAATGCGTGGATTCACATCATTATCGGAAAAGAACATCAGTCTGTTGGAATGATTAACAAGGTCGCAGAAAAAAACATTAAAGAATTATTTTTACCTGTACATAAAAACTGCAATATAAAATGACAGAAAATTCAAACAAGAAAAAAGGTCAAAATAAGACACTGGGAATTTTGAGAAAATTATAGTGTAGCTTGAGAAACAATCTTCATGTACCTTTGGAGTTTATATACACTTCTTTATTTTCTGACGGACTACTATTGACATATTTTTTGTCGTTTAAATAAAATTATTTGTACTGTCTTCCAATGTTGCAAGGACGTTTTTCATCCTTTGTAAAAGAAATCTAGATTATGAGTTACTAGCGCGAGTATTTAAGTATTACCCAGCCTCGGGATCTAGTGCCAATCCTTCTGGTTGTTTCAAATTGTTGTGGAAAATCAATTTATATATCGTTGTATTGTCGAGATATGCTGGTTTCATGGCTATCCAATTAAGCAAGGAATCGCACCAGTATAAGTTTTTTGAAACATAGTCAAATGCAATCTGGGCATTTCCGATAGACCTCCCTCTGTATGCAACTGAAATAGGAATGGTTTCATTCTGCCAGATGGTAAAGTTTTGGAATGCGTAAATTGAATATCCAATGGCTGCAAAAACGATCTTCCTCTCTGGATCTGACGATATGCTTATGATCTGAGCGCCTGAAGGATTTAAAGACATTGACACATTTCTGAAGTGACTGGCGGGATTTCTAGGTATTTCTGTGATGGAGGTTAGCGAAGCAGGATTCCACATTCCCAATATCAGGCCCTTATCATCAGGAAGACCTTGAATTATATCAATTTTAAATTAAATTGTATTTTATTTCATTTCCAACTTTGTTTGCTGGCATGTGGAAGTCTTTATTTCATTAAATTTTCTTTTCTTTCTCAGTGAAAATAAATTAGAGATGGGGCTTATAATATATGTACAATTGATATGTAATGACTGCAACAGGCAACTTTGTTTGCAAGTTTAATCATTCTAAATTCACCGTAAAATCTATATTCTGTGTATAATTTTTTCCTTTATAATATTTGAGGTGGGGTATCTAAACAACACTGTACAGCAATTAGGAAACGCCATTTCTTGTGCTATAATACCGATCAGGTAGAGTAGGCTTTCCCCTCTAAAGTCACCCCTCCGAAAAACTGGATCAAGAGCAGGATTTCTCACCGGAAATGGGCTCTAGAGTAGAATTTTTTCCCACGGAAAAATGACTCTTGAGTAGAATTCCCCTTACGGAAATCCCACATAAAATTCAATTTTCCGGGGGGGGGGGGGGGTCTACTCCGTGTAAAAGTTATGGAGTGTGATTTCCACCGGAGCCAATCTCCTCGATAAAATATCATGCATGTGCTTATATCTGAGGGGTGGAGAGGGGCGATACATTGTCAAGAGGGTTTCTTTAATTTTCCAACAGGCAGACAATTTTAAACAAACTTAAAAAAAATATGAACAAAAAGTCTAGTTGTGCATTCAACATTTAAAATTTTCAAAATGCAACCAGTTCTATTGAATCACCCAAAGTATGGAAATTGAAAATCTTTAATCTATTTTCTCTCAGTAATTGCCCAACCAATTCTTTTAAAACATTTAAGTTTTATTCTTTGCATTTGGTCAAACTGGTTTCTGAAAGAAAAAAAGTACAATGTTACCTGTTGCAGAAAGTATTGTCTGTATGATTCTAGCATTTATAAAATAGGAGAAATCCTACTTTGAGATAGAAAGAGGGGGAAGTCCTACTCTAGAGTACAGATTCGGGGGGGGGGGGCTATGGGGGAAATCCTCCTATACAACACGGGAGATAATTTCATATTGCTTTAAATACTTTAAACATTGTACCAGACTAAAATTTAATTAGAACATATTTTTGGTCTTAATCAATTAAGTTTCATAAACCCTCTGCTTACTCATATAAAATGTTGCTTTTCCAAAAGCAATGCTTGATTGTATGTTGTTTTACATGTACGTCCCACTCGAGAATTTTTCACTCATATAGAGCCATATACCAGTTATACCAGTGTAGGGCTTCAAATTTTGACCTGTACTTTTTACCTAGGACTATTGAGCAATAAGAGTTCCCCATCGTGCCAACGCCCACAGTGACACGGGACTTGGGTTTTTGAGGTCTCATCCGAAAGACCTGTGACTTTCACTTCTTGGCGAAGGGACAGTCACTACCTCTGTTTATGTCTCAGATTGGGTGCAGAGCAGCGAATCGAACCTGGGCCTCCTTTAGTATAATAAAGAAGGCAAAAAAGCTTGGATCTTGAAAACTACATGTATATTACCATTTTTCACATTGGTAATATCTGACCATTTGTGCCTCCCTCCTCATACATCAGTCGCAAACCGCATGTAGGTAGGGGTCTTTAATGATCGTATATTGTCTAATTGAGACTATTGAGTAATATAAACATTTGAAAATTTTGAATGGTAACCAGTATTCTAGATTAAGAAAGCCAAGGGCGTTATATCGAAAAGTAAAAGCGTAAAAACGCGGAATAAAAAGGCCTTATAACGCCAAAATAGGAGAAATAATAAAAAAGGACATTTTGACCCTTTTCAAAAGACGTATTTACGGGAAGAAGAACAAGCTGTATCACGCTTATTATAAGGCGATCGAAAGAAAAAAAAAGTGTTATTAAGACTTCTGAAAATGAGTATAATAATAGGAAATGGAAGGGCATTATAACACACCTTTTTAAAAGCGTTATTATACCTTTGAAAGAACGTTATTACGCTAATTGAAACAAGTGTTATCACGATAGTTGTACATAGGAGTAATAACGCGAAGTGGAAAGGCGTCAATTATAGAGGAATCAAAGCAATCATTATTCATGCAATGCATGTAATATATTAAAACGCTTTTCTGTGTTTCTCCTCGCATAACTATTATGAACCAACCCTCTCACAACAATTGGGAAAATTATGACCCCAGGATTAAAGCCCAAGCAAGGGATAAGCTGGTCAGGTATTGAAAAAGTTCATATTTGAAAATATTTTCTTCTTTTCTCTTAGACGACAAACAGGCAAACTTTTTGCATGAGTATAATAAGTAATGACCCTTCAATTCCATCAAAATTGATAAGGGTGAATTAAAAAAAAATAACCACCAAACTGATTTTTTTGGCAAAATTCAACTACTTATAACATATTTTTCAATTGTATCATCATATTGCAAATGCATTCTAGTTTAAAATCCTAAAGTGGCAATAGAATAGACAATTCGATTAAAAAGTTTCAGAATTTTTATTAGTAAAATTTCTTTCGAAAAAAGAAAATATCATTACACCTTAAAAGACTTTCTAAAATACATAATCACAAGAAATTAGTTTTTTATGCTTCAAAATGGTAAAAGGGGTATAAATGATTAAATCTAGACCTTGAATGAGTATCTTCTCTTGTACATGTGACAAAAAATTGGCTTTTTGATTGTTATTTTACATTATTTTTTCAATTCTGGTTTGATAAGTTTTAATATGAAAAAAATATGAAGTAATAAAATTCCTCAAGATTCACTTTTTTGTCCGTTCAAGTCAATTCTTTTAATCTAAGCCAAAAAAGAATTGTTATATACGAGTTCTCTTACGAAAAATACTAGATTTTGAAGTGACCCTAAGTTACATTATTGTGTTGCACTCCTGACATCTGATATGTATTTTATTTGACATTGTTTTAAAAATTATAACACACAATAACCCATTCTTACTTTGTAAATCAATTTGTCGTGTTGATATTTTTCATCGTTTACAGCAGGTCTTTCATATTTTGAAGACCTTAAAACATGATTATTTGCAAAGTGTAATATATATAAATTGTATTTAAAATATATGTGAAATGATGAAAACTATTCCCTGAATTGACTGTAAAATTTCTGTATTTTGTTGATACACATAGTCTTTTGAACATCAAATAGTATCAAGCATTTTTTTTCAACTTAATTTTTAGTAAAGATAGTTAAAAAGCATCGGTAATTAGAAGCAGTTTTGTTGCACTCCTGACTGCAGCAAAGTTTAAAATTAAAACCATAGAACACAAAAATTCATAAAGTGTTGGCAGCATCAAGTGTTAATGAAATTTTGCAATACTTATAGTCCAATACTTCATAATTAAAACAGATGAAAGTATTTAAAATTCGCATTTTATCTGGAATTATACCCTATTTTATGCCAAAAAACTAGCTTAAATGTATATTTAGAAGATAAAATATATTTTAAAGCATATTTTCCTTGAGAAGACAAACACAGTAACCCACCAGAAAAATTCTACTCATCATTTTTTCTTTATTTTTATTCTTATTGGATGATTTATAATTCTTACATATTTGTTGCACTCCTGACCAAAAGCATTGGGGCCTTTAAAGTAGAATTGTGAAGTGAAAATTACATAAGAACTTGTAACTTCTACCCCTGTGACCTGAAAGTATTTGGAGAGCATTTCAAATCAGCTGAGCAGGCTTTCCAACTCACTAAGGCAATGCGCTCCGGTGATCTTGTGGCAGCGGAACGTATTCGTCAGGCTAAGTCTCCACTAGAATGCAAGTTTATTGGAAAAGCTATTCGTACATCTGATTTTTGGCAGAAGGATGCCCCCTCCATCATGGAGGAAATTATTGTAGAAAAATTACAACAATGATCTTCTCACTTCCTCCACTGCAGATACTATCTATGCCCATTCTGTGTACGATCAATTCTGGGGAACCGGTTTAAACGCCACTCAGACCCTTCACACTAAACCAGAGGCATGGCCAGGTCAAAATAATATGGGTAAGATCATGCTTAAAGTTTCTGAAAAGCTACTTAGAGCTCCAGGACGCACATGGTCTCGCCCAAGGAGAGCAGGCTCCACCAATAAATCAAGTCAACAAGGTCTAGACAGCTACCTTAAGAGGTAACTATCCAGATAATGGCAAACATTAAGCTCCTATCATTTAACTGTAGAGGTTTGAATAATTATGATAAAAGATTAATATTATATGAATGGCTTAATGATATTAAATGTGATATTATTTTTTTACAAGAAACCCATTTTGTTAAAGATCGAATTAATATATATGACTCAAGGTGGCATGGCTCCTCTTATCATAATTTTTCAGATTCGTCACATAGTAAAGGTGTCTCAATATTATTTAGTAAAAAATTTTCGTTTAAAATTCTTAATGTTCATAGATCTGCTGAAAGCAGAATTTTACTGTTGAATATTGAATATGAGAAAAGAGTTATCTCTCTTATTAATGTATATGCTCCAAACTCAGAAAATCAAAGAGAAGAATTTTTCAAAAAAGTTATGAAGTGGGTTTCCCAATACACATTAAATGATGAAAATATCATACTTGTTGGAGACCTTAACTGTAAAGTTTGTAATGAAAAAGATAGAAGTGTGAAAGTTTTTAAAGATTTAATACAGAGATTCAATATGTATGATTTGTGGTCAGACTTGAAATCAGATAAAGCAGGATTAACGTGGTGTGACGGTAGCGACTTGCCTAAAAGTAGAATAGATTATGTTTTTATTAGTAAAAATTTTTGTTTTACTCCTAAGAATATATATTTACGTAAAGCACCAAGTGTATCTAAATGTAGAATGAGCGATCATCTTTCATTAATTTTTAAATGTCCCGTATCATCTAATGAGAGGGGAAAGGGCTTTTGGAAATTAAATACCTCTGTTCTACAAGACCCTGATTACTGTTCTTTGATAAATGACTTTTTTACCCAACTTCCCAGAGATACAGAAAATGAGAATAATGCCCACACTAAATGGGAACTAATAAAAC